AAAGTCAATCACTGCACTGGGTGACCTTGTTACTTGGTTGTATTTTACTAAGAAGGCTACAACCCTGTAACAATATAGATCCACAAAAAGCCCATGATTTGGATAGAGAGATTGCTTTGCAAAAACTATATTATAAACCTGAAGGTTATTATCGAACTGCGAAAAAATGTGAGATGCATGTGTAAGGGCTGGACATAATTTTTCATTAGCTGAGATACGTAATTGGTTAAATAAGCAAGCTGTTTTTCAGATTCATAAGCCTCGCTCTAAATTTATTCAATATTCTTCTTTTAATGGGATATAAAATTTAAATGAAGTTCATCAATCCGATACTACACCTATGCCCCATGATAAAATTGGCAACCGAATTTACAAGCACAGAGGAGTAATAAAAGATGTAGCAACTAGATTTCGACGTAGTTTTGCTTTGACTAATAAATCATCCATGCAAATGGCTAAAGCAATTCAAAAAATTTATAATAATCCAAACTGCCCTCTTACTTATCCTAAAACTTTTATTATAGATAGGGGTACCGAATATATGGGCAAATGTAAAGATTTATTACTTAGTCATGGTGTAAAAATTCAGTATGCTTACTCAAAATGTGGTGTTGCTATTGCTAAACGTGATTATCAAGAATTCGAAAAACATGCTTATTTTTGGCAAGATGCTGTGGATTTTCATTTACCTTTAACCGAAAGGTCTAGAGCATGGGTTAAGGGACTTCGTATAAATGATAATATTTTTAATAATACTCTTACTTGCTTAATAGGAATGTCTTCTAATGAAGCTATAAAAATAACATTAAAGGGCAAAAAAATAATTGCTAGTTCTGCCGTCAAACAAAGAAGACCAGTTGGATATAATGAACCCCTTTTACCTAGCTATACTGAAGTTCGTCATCTTTTAGAACCTGGTGAATTAGAAGGTTGGAGAAGAAGAGCAACTGATTGCAATTGGTCTCCTGAAGTTTTTACAATTGATTCCTATTTAATTAAAGAAAATAAATCTATTCTCTATAAGCTTTATAATGGTCCTAGACGCTCTTTTGTGAAAGAAGAACTACAAATCATCCTGCCAGATACAGTGTTACCACCCAAATATATTCTTAAGCATTAGTCTTTCCTCCTCTTTCTTCTACTTGATATAGAATTTGTTCGAAGGCATTGCTTAAGTAGTCATCTATTTCTGCTCTATTATAGACTATAATTTGTTTATTTCTAAGCCAGTCAGTTCGTGAATTCTTTTTTTCTGCATTATCATTTCCGGGTTTATCATCTATAAGAAATTTGATAAGAGAATATAGAGAAAATTTAAATTGCCCACGTTTGTCAAATTCTTTTTCAAGTATTAACCTAAACTTCTTTCTTTGACTTTCTAATATTTTTCGTATATCACTTCCATTATCTGGATGAGATTTGAGAACTTTTGCACGATGTACGGCTATAGCTCTTTTTTTAACTGCTGTTTCCAATTCTTCTTGTTCTCTAAATTCTAAATCCTTCTTCGATTTTTCATGCCTTTTAATTTCTCCTAAACGCTCAAATTCTTTATTGATCAAATTCTTAGATTTATTACCTTTCCTAAGGGTTTGTGTTCTAGATTCTGGACCAGCCTCTGGCCTATCTTCTAATTCCTCTTTTGTCGGTGGTCTTACTGCTTCTGGATCATACTGCTCAAGATCGTGGCAGAGAAGCATGCATTGATTTAAGTCTTCTGGTCTGTCACAATCTCCTAAATCAAGTTCCTTCCATCTTTTTAGCAATCTTGCTCCCCATATCCTAAAATGCTTATCAGGCTTTCGATCATTTAGATTAACCCATCTCTTTGCCTTTTCTTTGCTAATGACATGAATATTCTTGTTGTTCATATTCACACTAGAGGTTTCTATTTGTGGTTTGAGCTTAGAAGCTTGGTTAGCTTCTTGAATAGGTGTTTGAATAGAAGCTACTTCTTTTTGCTTTTGTAATGGTTTGCATAGATTTTTCGTTTAAGATGTTCACGAAGTTTTTGGGGTGTTAAGCATTTATAACTACAATGATTACAGATTGTAATTTTTTTATCATTTCTTGATTTTCTAACCATGGTGTTAGTTCTAACCGTTGCGCTTTTACTTGCTTATAAAATTTTTCTTTAATTAATTAATTATTATATATGTAGAGTATATATCACTTTTCGATCCCGCCCCCTCAAAGCCAGATATTTTTAGTAATAAAAAAGTAGGATGATTGGTGAATATTCGTGCCCATATCTTAGCAACTCCAGAGTGGCTTGCAATAGGCCTTGCATTCGTCTAGAAGGTTGCCGATTCCATTGGAAGGCTAAAAAACAAATACTATGCTCTGATTGTGAGAAGCCTATGGCATCTGCTTGTGGCCGATACCCAGCACATATCAGAGGGTACTATATTACCCAGTACTATGATAGATTGCGAGCTAAAGCTTTAAGCTAGAGCTTCTTTTTGACTAAGGATCTTTTATAGAGAATGTTAAGTTATTTTCATTAGACTTATATGTTATTTTATGCGTTTCCTGATGCTAAGACACTTTCTAATACACTGCTTTTTTGTTAAATGTATAAAATTCCCAGCAGGATGAAATCGTTAGATTTATTTAAAATATGTAAAATAACAAGCTGTCCTCTATAGAAATGTTTTCTAATATACATTTTTCATTAGATATAAATTTCCTGGCAAGGCAGAATCATTAGACTTAAATTCCCGGCAGGGCGGAAGGAAAAGTTGTGACAAAATTCTCATTAGATTTTTTTTAATAATTATACTATTTAATGAGCTAGAGCTTGTAGAAGCCATTCTTGTTTATAAGTAAGTTCGTTAGATTTAAATTAATCACGTGATATTTGATATGCTAATTAACGTTTAAATCTCTTTAGAAGCAATTCTTGAATAGTTAGAGATATTTATAAATAAGTCTAACGGTCTGTTAGACTTATTTCTTCATTAGACTTATTTTTGTCCTAAAACTTCTAAATACATATTAGGGCTTCTAGAGCTTTTAGAAGCTCTTCTAGATATGCACACAATAAGTTTTGGGTTTTGGGACAAAGCCGTTAGAATTATTTTTGTTAGACTTATTTATGGGGTAATAAGAACCGTTAGACTTATTTTTCATTAGACTTATTAATATTAAAATAAAGCTTCTAGAACCTATTAGAAGCCCTTCTAGGGATATAAAATAAATCTAATGA